AGGAACATTTGAGAGAAACTAAATTCCAGCATTCTATTAATATTTAAAAATTATTACATTATATTAGTAAGAAATCTCTATATTCTCAGGCTGGTCACTTCTGTATGGCAGATGTCAAAAGCTGAGTCTCCAGCTTCAGCAGTTGCCTCCAGCTTGTGTAAAGGCATTCTCTAACACTAAAACTTAGTGTGTCTTGCAATTTTTTACAAACATATTTTTCATTTATATCAAGAGGACTTTAATTTTTGTGGTAGTATAGTATAGATTAATTTCATCAGTTTCCCTGCTGCTCCGGATACCATTTAGAACTATTCCTAAAGTCTGCACTGAACTACAATAAATGTTTAGTCTAGTTTTAGTAGTTACTCCTTTTAAGGACAAATACCATCATGTACTGGAGTTCACACAAAATGTTTTGAGTTCTGTAGATATCTTCCTGATAAAAATTTTAAATTCCAAGGTATAATTTGGGGAGATAATTAATTACACCAACATTTTGTCCCATTGGAGGAAAGACCATTTGCCATTTTTCCCCATGCATGTTCTACCTATGCTCACCCAATTCTTAGCAACCTCCTCTTGCTAGCTTCATTCCTAACCCAAGGAAAAAAGATTAACCTGCTTATTCAAATCCATAGAGATTGATTGCGCATAATTAGTAGCGGGCATTGCCACTGCATGCACAATCACTGGTTATATCTTCAAAGAGAGGAGTCTAGGTCTGGAACTTCTTCTTGTCATTTTTTTTTTGTATTGTGTTGTAGAATTGGTAAGCAATGTCAGGGAGTCCTCTTAAATTTTGGTGGCCTTTCTCTGTCTTTCATGCTGTGTCTGAATGGGTAAAAAAAAAAACCCTTCAGCTATACGTTTTTCTCTCATGCAGGTATACCTGAGCCTTCTGTTCTCAATATCTAAAACGTGAATGTCTTAACATGAGAGAGGTGTTTAGGAGGTCCCTTTCTGACTTAAAGCCTAAGTCAGAGTCTTCAATTTACTTTTTAACCAGCAGAATTAGTTACAGAGTCTTGCAACCAACAAAATGACCTTTATTCCTGTTCTGTTTTGTTCGTTGGTTGCCTTACTTAATAACCACTTGGGAGAGATTCTTGACAGTGACATAGGATTTAAGCTTTCCTAGCCACCTGAATGCAAAATGATCATAATACCATCAAATGCTATCTCTGACTTCTAACATTGCTTCAAACATTTGATGAGAAGGTCTGTAGGTATGTATAAGTCTATGTCTGTGTTAGCTTTTGATTCCTGAGGACAGACAGCATGCATTTTATTTCTTATCCCAGGCAGCAGGTATAGTGCTTGTACACAGAAGGTATTTTTCCAGTGATCCAGAACATAATCCCAAGTATATAATTTTGAAATCATATTTTTCAGATATTTGAAGTTTCTTATAAGGAAACATTTAATTTATAATACCCCAAAAGGGATTATGCTAATTTTAAAGCTGAAGAAATTGAGACCCCAAGAGATTAAAGGTTTAAGTTTCCATGAAGAGGAAGTGGCAGAGTTGAGATTCCAGTGGAGATATGCCCAACTCTAAAGCCAGCTCTTGGCAGAGCATCACTGTTTCTAAGCTAGCCCAAGGGTACAGGGAGTTTTCAAATTGTCATCCTTAGTCAGCCAACATTATCTCATGCGACTCCATATCAGTTCTCCTGGTTCTGGGCAGCCACTTGGACGTTCTTGATGATGAAATCCTGGTTCTGGGCAGCCACTTGAATGTTCTTGATGATGAAATATTTTGGTCTGCTGGCTGTTATGCAAGCATAGTCAACTAAAAAATATCCTTATGAGAAAGTGTCTTCTCCATTATGCTGTTTATTTACAAAAGTCTTGGAGTAAGATGAGAGAGGGAAAAGGGGTGACAGGAAGTCAGGAGGTTCAATGAAGGCAAGGCAGGAACATTTGAGAGAAACTAAATTCCAGCATTCTATTAATATTTAAAAATTATTACATTATATTAGTAAGAAATCTCTATATTCTCAGGCTGGTCACTTCTGTATGGCAGATGTCAAAAGCTGAGTCTCCAGCTTCAGCAGTTGCCTCCAGCTTGTGTAAAGTTTTCTCTCTACAAGTATTCATGACTGAAGGCTGACTAGAGAATGAGTGAGGAAGAAAATAAAAGCCAGTTCTATATTGTGCCTTTAGTTATGTACAGTCTTAATTGCGTATTAGACTTGGCTACTTTGAGATAATCTTCTCTATAGTTAAGATGAGCTAATGGAATGTAGAGGGTTGTCTTTTATTGTTAAATGAATGTTGCTAATTTTGATCATGTTTCCTTAGTCTAACCATTCTCTGAATCACTGTAAATAAGCAGAAAAGCAAGGGACTAGTAGCAAACCTTTTATTATTGTGTATTTCTTTCTTTGTTGGCTGTTATATGATTGAGTGTATTTGTTTTAATTCTACAAAAACAAGCAGTTTATTCAAATGCAAGCAGTAAATAAAAGAGGGGAAAAACATAATTCAGGATGTTAAAAAATAGAAAATACAAACAACACATCAGGAAAAAATTGTATAAAAATATATATGTCATAATTTTTTTAATAGTTGCTAAAATTGTGTCTACAGATTGAGCTCCAAGCACTCTGGCAGCAAAAGAAGAAATGAGAAAATATATTACTTTAAAAATTTGTATCATCTAGGAGAAGCATACAATCTTCTTTTAGTTGTTATTAGAGTGACAACCATATCTAAGGCCTATTGTTTATGTGCATGGGTTCTTAATGTTTTCTCAATGAATGCTTATGATATGCAGGCTGAAGCCAGTTGAGCTCATGTTTTCTAGGGCTTTAGTCCCTTCTTCTATGAAGATTGCTCCAGACCAAATGTGCACACCTCTAGTTACTGTGGAACACAACACATGAGCCATGGCCACTAGGTTTCATTTGAGATCATGTGCCATTGAAACTCTTTAGTGATATGAGAACCAAGACTGCTTTTTGTCTTCTTTCTTCCTATTTCTGTCCCATTTCTTCTGAAATTCTAGATAATTAAGAGCTACCATTTGCCCTATCCTTCTAGATTACAATGTGATGAAGTCCTGCTGATCAATTTATATCTCAAATGCATGGCATTGTGAATTGGTACTATTTCTGTTCATTTGAAGGAACACCCAATATTTGAAATCACTCTAGAGCTAGAAAAGATAGCAAAATTAAACAATCTGGTCCTGGGATATAGTAACTTTTCCCAGGGAACAGTAAGAGGGAAATATGCACCAAAGCAAAATTCTATTTGTTTTTAATTTTCATTATTACATACCTGAGGAAGATATTCTTATTTACAGGTGGGTAATTAACTTATAGCAATTCTAGGACATCAAGAAGCCCATCCTGCAAATTCCCTTGATTCAAAAATAATTCGAGTCAGTAGCTGAGGTTTCAATTCTTTCATTTAATTGATTGAATCTCATTGGCTTTTCTTTCCAGTCACTAACACGTCAGTATAAATCTGTTGAACAGATTCTCTCAAGGCAGAGAATTTGTTCAGAAAAATCTCTCTTATATAATGAGGGACACATGACAAATTAAATATATTTGGATGGGAAGAAGTTGGAAAAAGTGCATTTAGAATTGATTTAATGCATAACAGCTGAACCCTTAGCTATAGACCAGCTCAGCCAGGGTTCTGATTAGTATCTGATTCAATGTCAGATGCATGAATGATGAAAACTTTTGTACTTACTTCATATCTCTTGAAAGGCCTGACTTGTAAAAAGATTTGGAAATTTTGAATCATCCCAAAGCATTTCTAAATGCTCACATACAAAACTATTATTTTTTGTATTTTTAAATAGTGTAGAAGTCAAATGAAAAAATCAATGATAGAGAATATTACCCTAAGTGTGCTATGTTATTGACCTTCTTACATGAAAAGTCATTTTCTAAAAAAATACAATACAAATTGTTTCTTTAAAACAACAGGAAACTTTAAATTATTTAAATAATCGTACTTTAACATAACTAAGTGACTTACTCAAGCTTTCTTGTTAGGGATGTCTAACAACTCTACTGAGTTACATATAGACAGCTGTCTTTTATGAAGTCAAAATAAGAAAGATATTTCCATACTTCTTCTTTGTTTGCTTTATAACAACCTATATTATACAAAAATTTTATCTTTTTTTTTTTTCTTTTTTTCTGAGACAGAGTTTTGCTCTTGTTGCCCAGGCTGGAGTACAATGGTGCAATCATGGCTCACTACAACCTCCACCTCTCAGGTCCAAGCGATTCTGCTGCCTCAGCCTTCTGACTAGTTGGGATTACAGGTTCCCACCACCATGCCCAGCTAATTTTTGTATTTTTAGTAGAGATGGGGATTCCACCATGTTGGCCAGGCTGGTCTCGAACTCTTGACCTTGTGATCCACCTGCCTCGGCCTCCCAAAATGTTGGAATTACAAGTGTGAGCCACTGCGCCAGGCTGCAAAACCTTTATCTTTAACAGCACATGGATGGCTATTGACAGTTCATAAACAAACAAAAAATAAACATTTCACCCAAAGATGTGATCATCTGTAGGTTGCCTATGTAATATAGTCATAAAACATTATAACATTATATGAGCATTATAAATATAAATTAAACACAGTCTTTAATATGAATAATATTATCATCTGGCTTTTGTTAATAATTTTGATAACTACTGAATGGAAACAAAATGAGAATTCAAAAGTGCAAATAGTGTGCAATTTTTACAGAAGGTAAAAAACACAATTTCTTTTTTCCTTTAGTAGGCCCACAGCCAAGCCATTGAGAGACAAGTCCATGGGAGACAAATTATCTCATGCAGCTGAGATGTCCTGGAGATTTTCCACAGCACCACTTGGCCAGTGCCTGGACAAGGTAATTTACCGTATCTCTAAATGTCCTACTCCCAAGAGCACATTCATCTTGCCTCCCCTTGAAGCAGATCCCTTGAAGAGTTTCATGTTTACGAACATGGAGTAGTATTGTTTGGCCAACAAAATGAGAAAATGAATTGTGTTTTCAGTAAACTCATCTATTACCTTACTTCAGTTCAGAGTGATTAAACTAATAGTAATTGATGAAAATAACCAACTTAAAATGAGGAATGAGCATAAAATGTGGTTATGCCATCAGAGTTCTACCTGTGACAAGAAATGAAAATCAAATCAACTGGGCATTATCAAGCAAAACGATGGTAAGTAAAATAGATATAATTTTAGAATCATCATAAAATAATGAAAGAGATGTATTTTTATTGAGGTTTGTTTAGATACCAACAGGAATCTTTTTTCAAAGTCTGAATTTCATTAGAAAAAGCATGAAAATATATTGAAAGGCATTTATAGATTTAAAAAGATGTTAGAAGGCTTGAGGAACTTATAGAAAACATTATTATTTTGAAAAGAAAATTGGCCAAAACCTTCTGAAATGTTAACCTCAAGGAGAGAAATGAATAACATTAGTTAAGAGTTTTGATTCTAATCAACCTAAATGCCCATCAATGATAGACTAAATTAAAAAAAAGTTCTACATATAATGGAATACTAGGTAGCCATAAAAGTAATGAGATGGTGTCCTTTGCAGGGACATAGGTGGAGCAGGAGGTCATTATTCTTAGCTAACTAATGCAGGAACAGAAAACCAAATACCACATGTTCTCATTTATAAGTGGGAGCTAAATCATAACACATGGACACATAGATAGGAGCAACACACACTGAGTCCTATCAGAGGGCGGAGGGTAGGAGAAGGGAGAGAGGATCAAGAAAAATAGCTGTTGAGTACTAGGCTTAGTACCAACAGTTGAAATAATCTGTTTAACAACCTCCCGTGACACAAGTTTACATACATCAGAAGTTTACGTATATAACCAACCTGCACATGTACCCATGAACTTGAAATAAAAGTTAAAAAGGAATTTTGATTCTTAAGAAAGTGGGAGAAAAGTTAAATAGATTAAAAATATTGATGAAATACTTTGAAAAGATATTATATAAATATGTATTAAGTTTTTCTGTGTCTAAACTTCTTAAAACTAGAAATAGTTTAATATTAGAAATTTCATAAAATATTGATACACCACAACAGTCTTTTGAGTATTATTTTGTTTCCAATTCATACCCAGTTTAAAGAAATCATGGTTTCTACTTCGTACTTAGAAAACCACTTCTTTTTATCTAATCCATTGTATGTAGTCAAACTAAGTGTGTCAGATGCACATTTATAGAAATGTTAACCTTGTGGGCAAAATAAAGTATGGGAATGGTGTGTTTTTCTCCTGACACAAATAACTACTTCTTCATGATAGACATAATCATTTCTTGTGTCTCATTTATCTCCTTTTCTTTCACCTGCATGATTTTATTTGTATTTCTGATAAAATTACATTTTTTAAATTATTGAAATGTTTATCAACATATGTGTTCTAATCCAGATCAAAGATATGGATACTCATAAGGTTCTCATAGCAGAGAAATTACAATGGTTTGTGGGGAGGGGGTTACTAATAGTAGCCGCTGGAACAACCACAAAGGCATTATAGGAGGTGGGTAAAACCAGGGTTAAGGCAGGCTCTAGATCTTTTATTTATGTGTAGTTCTAGAGGTTCTGATTCATTGGGCAGAAAAGCAATGAAATAAAAACATTAAGAGAGAGATACAGAGGTGGGTGTGTGGTGGGTGTGAGGAGGAGAACCAGATGGATGATGGTTCTGTCAGAAATTTGAAAATGTATTTGAATTTAAAATCCAAATGCATTCCCCTAATATGAAGAAAAATCTATTTACATTAAAAAATATCTGTAAGAATATGCAACACATCTCTTTCTTTCCTTCCAAATCAAGTAGTAACTAAAGGACCAGCAAATAAGGAACAATGCGTCTATATTTAGAAAAGTATATTTTCTGAGTTTGTTCTTTGCCAATCCAATATTCCTTACTTTTCACTCTGACTTAAGGTATCTGCAACCACATTCTTCTTGTCATCCAGAAGATGGCATGGTGATATTTTCTCAAAGCCTTAGTTTAATTACTTGCATTAGTTGTTATTTACTCACACATTGGGCTTTTCTCACATTTTCTTTTGTTTCAGAAAATATATTTTAATGTAAAACATACCAGGCTATTCTTTGGTATGACACCTGATGGGAAGCTTGGATCATGTTGAGTATGTCACAAAGTGTCATGCATCATTCCTATGCCTAAGTGACAATCTCAGTTGAGACCTTCAGGTTTTCCCACCTTATCTATCTCAGTGACTGGGTTCCTTTCCACTTTGCCATTCCTCATCTCTCCACTGACTGCCATATTGATTTTTCAAAATGTAAATATAATTATGTCACTCATCTTCCAAAAGTTCTTAAGTAATTGCGTATAACCCACAATATAGTAGAAAAACTGAGAGTGGTATAGAGGATCCTTTAGGCCTGGGGCCTGCCTACCTGCTCAGCATTATCTGATCCACCCTCATTAACCCCCTCAGCACTGGCTGTACTGAGAAATTTGGTATCCCCCAAAGTTATCATGACATGCTGCCCTTTAGGCTGGCCAGCTCTTTCTACCTGCTGCGAGAGAACAACTACTCTCCCTTCAAGTCCAAATGTTAGCTGTCCTGTTGATTGAGAAATATCATTAAACACATCTTTTTCCCTTCTCTGGCATCTTGTGTGTAATTCAGAACCCCAGTCATTATTGTTTTGATATTCTTCTAATCCAGCACTTTCACATAGGAGTCTTGCAATAATTCCTTGCTGAAATAAACAATCAATGAAAAAATAAATAGGTGCTTAGCAAATATTAAGAACATCAGAAGTTTTATTGCTATCTTGTACCAAGTTGCTGGAAATGTTTGAGATCACATATAATATAACCAACATCTGCATATGACTGGAAATTCTACTACCAGATCATCGTCCTACAATGAAACATTTTTTGAAAAAGATTGTCTGTGTCAGATACACCTTAGTTTGAAAACATTTTAAACTTAATTAATCTAACTTCTATATTATATTCATAGGAAAGTCAAGTCCAGGAAGGTGAAAGGAATTCACAGTAATGCAACTGAAATTAAAGGTGGGGCAGAACTAAACCAAGGTATACAGATACTCAGGCAATCATCATAATAAAAAATGAGGTCTTTATTATGAAAACGAATAGATGAAAAAAATTACAAACGGGTTCTTATTTTTATTCACCTAACTCGTATAATCATTAAATGTCTATTGTCACTATGTTTAGGACACCATGATATTATGAATGTTATGGTGTTATGGATATAAAACAAATAGCATATAGATTCTTCACTTAAAAAATTCATGTTTCATCTCTTGTCTCCTTTCTGTCTCCCTTCCACTATCCTTCCTCTCTACCTAAGAACACTTTATAGTGTCCTAAGTTGGGCCTTCAGCTAAATTATCTAAGTAAATTTAATGGTGGAAAAAATAAATAAGCACAGCACAGAGAATCCTTATAGTCAGGCTGTGGATCAGACTCTATCTCTAAGCTCTGAGGCCTTAATAAGTCAATCTATTTTTATGAGCTTTGGTTTATAACTTCAATGGGTCAGAGCGATCTCTGCTTGTCTCTGCCACAGGCTACTTTGAGAAGAAATGATGGAAATGCTTCATTTTAAAGCATTGGCTTTGGCATCAAAGAAGCTGGTTTTGAATCTCTGCTCTGTTATTTATTAGCTGTATGAGTGTCTCTTCATGTTGAAAATGGGTTATATTTTCCACCTTATCATTGTTAGGATTACCAATATCATAAGTAAGGATAAAGGTCTGACGTTTAGGACAGTCTCAATTAACATAAATCTTACTCATTTTAGGAACGTTTGGGAGAACTTTATCAGTCCTAAAGTTCTGTAGACACCTTAGAAATTATTTCTCCCCAGACACATACTATCTAAAGCCTGCCATTGATGAGATGGCTGGCTGAGTTGCCTTAGCCTGGATATTGGTGGTCTTCTGATTTCCTTCCAGAATCCACATCTTAACTGCAAAGATCAGCAATGATGCTGGGTCCACATAAATGGCCTAGGAGCCTGAGGCTATGTGAAATGAGGACTACTCTGGAGTAAATTGTCATGTTCAAAAAATAAATAATGAGTCAGACCATGCCTAATTCCACAGGAAAGAGATTAGTTGCAGCAAAAACATGTGGAGTTAATTTGGTTAGAAAAGAAAAAATTAACATCTTGAATTCCACACGAAGACTGATACTCCTTGGAGTTTGTGGGGTTATTTACAGAGCCCCGTTGTTACCCTGCATAAATGTAGTAGGTACATTATAAAGCAGCAAATCAAGGATGACTATTGTTACAGTGAAGGGTTCTGTTTTATATACATTATAAACCTTATTCCACATATGTAGCCTTTACTGATATGGGACTTAGGGATTTTGAGGGAATTGAAACAAGAAATGAGATTTACATAATGCTCTCTCGAGTTCCATTTTGGCTAAATTTTAAAACATGATTTAAAAATAATGTATACTTGGAACGAGTCAGAAGAAAGCGCTTGTTTCTACAATGTGGACGTCAGCTGTAGCTTGCATAATATAAATCTTTTATTAATTCAGTGTCCCAATTGACTGCTAAATTTTGTCATTCAGAACTTGAAGTTGCTTTCAAGTTTGCTTTTTGGGATAGTTCCTACAATTACTATGCATTTTCATAGTTGTGTAGATCCTTGGCTTCATCACTTTTACTTTCTTTTGTATGTGATGCAGGAAGAATAGAATTTGCTTCTGGCTGATTCCATCTGCAGACTTGTCCCCAAGCCTCTGCTTTATTCTGCCATGTTCTTGGACTTTTCTTTCTCTCCAGCCTTAGACAAAAGGCATCTTTTCCAAAGTCCCATTTTCAGTGTTTTTTTTTTTT